AGATCATAGTTAACCTGATTCAAAGATTTACCTTCTTCTTGTAGGTATTTCAACTCTTTCTCTCTCTCATTTTTTTTAATCAAGCATGAGTACTTCCTCTTTGACTTCCGATCCCTCTTCCTTAAAATTAACTTACTAATCTGCTAATTTCTTACATTTCGTATCAAAGGTCTTCTTCAATTAGAGTTGGCTTGGCGGTTTGCAAGAATGCGATACAGCTCCTGCGATGCTTGTCAAGAGGCGATACAGAATGAAACCCATTTCTTTCACAGCAGGAATGAGGAAGGCTGTCTCATACAGTGTGCCAACCTGAACGTTATATTAACATCAAAAGACTACATACCAGCCTCGTCGCCTAGGGAGATCGACCGATGAATTTTACACCTAACGAACGTCCCCACAATACCATAAGACAGCCTAAATTACCTTTTTTCGTACATATTCTTGCCTAACAAATAACAGAATTTCCTCTTTGAGTGATACATTTGGCCCCATAGTACGACGTTAACTTTCAGAAAAACAGACCGGCTGTGAGTATGTCGCTTTTTATGATAGTGGAGGTGGAAAAAATTCAGTTGGAATCGTCACTATCAGTCTTTTAGAGGATTTCCGAATCGCTTTGATTGATTCCAGATTAATCAGGTCTTCTTAATGCATAAGACCTTATTTTCCTCCTAAAAATTGCCATTAGAATCTGTCGTAACGGCACAATCCTTCCTCACGAGCTGTGCACCAGCTGGTCGGATTGGTCTTCTTGTTCTAAATCATGCGGAGGTGGACAGCGAAGAAGGATTCGCAGCTGCCCTGACAGTCCGGAACTCCAACTGTCGGCTCTTAAGGACAACCAGATCTCCGCAGCTCCATGCGATACGAACCAGTTTGAGGTCTGCAACCTTATGGAGTGCATCAGTAAGTTTTTGACCCTGGTTATAATTTCGGCCGTAAAGCATCAACCTATTCTTATATTATCCAAATCTAGTCACCCATAGTAATGATTTGGAAATAGCTTAATTAATATAAACTCTCCCGATTATTTCCGGTCCCAGATTCTATTGTAGGCTTATTTATAATCTTTGGACAGAGCTATGTAAAATCCTTTCTCATGCCGAAAATATAGACTTCCTATTGATCACTTAAATAGTAATTTCACCCATATATTTAAGTGATTATATATTTATTTTTTTATTTATTTCAGCTCCAGGACTACTTTATTCATGTGTATATCTCATTCATTCGTTTTCTATTTGTTCGTTTTATTTTAGTACATATGTTTTGCTGTTCCCCCATTTATAAGGGCTCTTCTGTATTTATGCTTGCTCTGATGTCTACTTGCCAGATTTTATATCTTTATTTTTCGTTTAGAAGTAGGACTTTAAAAAGGCCAGTAACTTAGATTTATAACATATTTAAGGTGATGAAGAAATGCAAGTTGAATTTTCTATTCAAAGGAAATACGGGTTTCAAAGTATCTCCTGATATAAGATTGGTCTGAAGACTTTCATTTGGTATGGAAGTACATGATGAAGAGGAGACATCGGCTGATTTACCGGCGTCTTCTGGGGAGATTTACCTACGAATCTCTTCATCATATACTTCCATATGAAATGAAGGTCTTCTACTCGGTTGAGTATTGCCACATTCATATAATTATAACTTATGTCTTCATTGAATTTCACTTAGACTTTCCTCTCAAAGGATATTTTTATCCATCAGCACTCTCATCGGGACTTGGACACGTTAACCACTATTCCTCATTGCCACGAATGCCTATGGGCTAGAAGGTAGATGTAAATTTCAAAAAAAGGCAGGAATTTTACCATATCACATTATGGGGTTGGATTGTGAATGAAGCAAAGTTGCATTTGTCATAGCAATCGATCCCATTATTTATTTCTCGCTTATTAGTAGGGCTTCGACACTACCAGTAAATTAGGCATAGTCGAAACTGCCGTCCATCCTGGATGAGAATATCTTATGAGAAGCAAGGCTATGTTAAACTTAATTGAACTATCATTTTTTCATCACCGTTACCGAAATTGATGAAGACATCCCATACATCTGATTTACTGGTATTCTCGAAACCCTACTTATAAATGAAAAATAAGTAATGTAGTCAATTGTTATAGCAAATATTACATTGCTTCATCCATAATTCCGCCACAGAATGTGATATAGGAGAATATCTGGTCTTTTTCGTAATTCACATCGGCCCTATGACCAAATGACACTTGAGGCATTGTGACGTATTGGTTAGCCTGTCGAGATTATACGCTGAACCTTCATTGCTCGAGGTCCGCTGAAGGCACTGATGAGACCTTGGCGAGGCTTAAAACGTTGTCCATCCTGGATGAGAATACCTTTTGGGAAACAAATCTATATGAAATTCAGTGATTGTGGGAAAATTGAACTATAATTTCTTCATCACCTTAAACGAATTGGTTGATCGGATTTAATTTATTCTTAATTCTATTTCTGTCCTTAAGACTGTATTTAATAGTATAGTCTACTCTCACCTAAACATCGGTGGGTATTTCCGTTTGTTTCCATTTGGTACTTCGTCTGTTGCCCAATCTTATTTGTACGTCCTTTTCTCTTTCTGTGTGCCTTCGCTTTCGCCTGACCGTCATTTGTTTGTCTGCATGCTTACTGTACCTTGGTTACCTCCAGTTGATTGTCGTACATCTGAATGGTCCGACTGGTCGCCTTGCAATGGGACATGTGGCTCCGAGACTCAGACACGTTATCGCCGCGTCGTCCAGCAACCATTCGGTACAGACGCTCTTGGCTGTCCCTCTCAGCTGTCCGAGTCGCGAAGTTGCGCCCGGTCGGAATGCGTCTGCCAAGCCCCGTTTGCGTGGTCCAGTTGCGCAAATGCCTGCCCCACCGATTGTCGTCACCTTCCCATGGCTCGACTTGTGAACACACACGATGACATCTACCAGGCAGCAGATGTGACAGAACTGGCCCCATCGGGCCCTCTGGAGGCGGTGGCGAACTCGTACCTCGGCTGCTATCAAAGTCCAGGCGAATGTCTTCCGGGCTGTCGGTGTCCGGAGGCCTGGCTACTGCAGAATGGTGTCTGTGTGCCGTTGGCCGAATGTCAATGTCGCTTACCAAAGCCGGCAGCACAGGCCACAAGTGGATCGCCGGCGACGAGGGAACTCGAACATGCAATCGCTGCACTCTTTGATGAAGTCATGCATCATTCGACAAAAGCAATGCTGCCGACCAACCAATCGACACTAAACGAAGGCGCAAATGAGACTGGGCAGTCGACAAGCAGCAAATATGCCTGGGGGGCACACGCTGACGAACCTGGCAACAAGACGGGAGGGGAGGAGATGGCATTCATGGAGCCAAACCAAGAGATGGAGGTCGGATGTATGCTGTTTGTGTGCAAATTTGGCGTAATTTCCTACACCAAAAAGACTAATTGTTCGGGTAATTACACTTAATATCCATTTCACATACACGGGCAGCAAATTATGTGATATTTGGCCTTTTATGGTATGAGTGTCAAAGTAGGATTAAAATATTCATAAGCACATTATGAAGCGATTTTGATTTAGTATAAATGTGCATGATGAAAATATTTGAAGGTCGGTGTATGGCTTTGATATGTTAGCATGCTGACACAGTCCAAGAGACATCCTCCATCATTTAGAGTGAAAACGGGCTAAACTTTGGTCCGTCATATGATGTATCTCCTCAGAGCTAGGACTTATTCTTATAAAAGTCTCAAGTTAACGCTACGTTAACAGACTGTCTTGTTCTGTCTTATGTCCTATATACTCATACCTAAAAGCGAAAATGTATAGAAAAAGATAGAAATAGAATTGTATGGCTAATTCCCTTTCAGATTGGTCATTCTTCTTTTATTTACGTTTGTGTGTAGCTGTGTAGCTGTTCGCTAAGGTTTATAAACAATACAGGTCATACATCAGAATGATCAAAAAAGCCTTGTGTCAGACTCGGATAATCAAAGCTGAATGACCCAAGAAGAGCCTTGACCTATACTACATCATTCCGTGAGCAACTCTGGTTGAGATGATGAGGTGTAAGCTTTTAAGCGTGCCCCATTACTGTCTCTATCCTCCAATTTAGCATATTTAGTTTCTCTTCAATTTTCTACGACCCTTCTTCACATTCAAATTATCTTCTCATCTATTAATTCCAGTAGCCTCTATTCTTCATTTTAACAGTAGACGTATCATAATCAGTAAATCCACTCGTTTGAGACAATTCTGTCTCATCTCCAATCTCTGGCCTGCGTGTTCGGCCATTTCTGACCGTTGGACTCAATTGCTCAATTTATAGGCATTTTTGTGTTCAAATAATATTTGGCGAATTGGCCAACATGTCTCACCAACACAATCTTGTCGCAACTGGATCTCGATAAATAGTGATATTTCTCCCTAAAGGATGGCACAACCGAAGGTGTAAGGCTTTCTTTGAACATTATTTCTACCCCCCACCTTTGCATTTGTTCACATATCTGCTTAGAAGACAGGCGTGAAAAAAATCTCAGTTTGTCTGCCCTTAACTAAGTGGTCTGGCTGAAAAATTATTCTTCATCAAAGTGATATTATTGTCAATTAAGCCCAAAGGATAATTATTTTAGGGAATGTATCCTTCCGCCGCTAAACTCTTTAGATGGATGGTTACTATCCGATATGCTTATACTTCTAATGAATATTGGCTTTAAAATTCCAACTTTAGTTTTGTAATTGTGGTTAGAAAAAAAATTAAGAAAAGAGCCAACTTAGGTTGGCTTCCTATAGACATCTCATCCTAACATACCCTTTTTTCTAATAATCACAACATTCAAATAAGGTAAAGACCTATTCTTTTCCATTTCAATTGTGAACCTAATGTTTCTTTCACGTTGGTTAAATGAAAATAGGAAACTAGCTAAGCTTCCCTCACCATGAGGCCAGATGACAAAATATTCATCCACGTATTCCTCAAGTTTGTCCGTATAATTGTTCTTCAAGATGGGACATAAGCAAGATCCTAATGCATGTCCTTGTGTCTGTTCATAAAACTTACCGGTAAAAGCAAATTAAGTGCTACTCATGGATAGGTTAAGAAATCTAAATATGAGGGCAGGAATACACACATGAACATTTGTGTACATAGACACGACATCAAAATT